GCTGGAAAGAGACATTAAAGTGGAAGGAAGCCTGCGCTCATTTTTCCTGTTTCTCATGGAGGAGCTTCTAAAGGATTTTGCTTTTAAAACAACAGCCATACATATTGATTAAAGCCACTGGGATGTATGGGTCTTTACTTAATCCAATACTAACAAGTATTGACTAGAGAAAGTCGTTACCATAGATTTATGTTCACTCAATATAATGGGTAGGTGTGCTTTGAGCACATTTATTGGTAGATCTGATTGACAGTCTATTTATCCCGCTTCAATTGACTTGACAGCTGAGTGGTTTATTATTCTGCTTGACCACTCAGATGCAAACCACCTCTTGTCCTTCCCCATAGTGGCATAGCAAAACATTGCCTAGTAAAGCTCCCTGTTGTCAAGCGATCTAGCCAACCATTTACCAATCTTTTTTTTCTGTATGTGGCGTGGGAATGTATATATGAATGATGAGAAGGACGGTCGGAAAGAAAAAGCGAGCGGGAAGAAGGCGAGAGGGAACGAGGGGAGGAGGATAAATAGGAATAAAACGGGAATGAAGAGGGAGACGATTTATACCGGCGTTCATCCTTGTTCATGCTTGACTCGCCCCTGATGGAAGGGAAACATTGGTCCCACTGATACAGCGCTTTCCTTGGGACAATAAATCTGCTTGAGTACAGATAAAGTAGGGACAGCTTATCTTGCACGGTGATGTCAGAGCCCAGCATTCAAAAGCTGTTATCGCAGGCACTCACATACAATATATGATATGAGAAATACAGTCTTACAAATATTCAACACAGAACACAGAGCCGGGATACAGAGCTCTATGTACGGCGAATCGCTGTTAAGGTGTTAAAACAGGAAACTCCTGGGTTTGCTGTGTGTTTATTTTTGACAGGTATGGGATGTATACAGGAAATTACCTTTACATAAATCTGCAGAACCTTAAGTGGTCCAATTTCAGCACCAGTGTCAGTAAACCATTCGCTATTTGACACCAACGTACAGATAGATACATCTGAATGATTTATTTCTTGCAATCTAAATGCGGTAGCCTATCTTCAGTATAATACTTGCCGGTGACAAACTGTGCAGTGATATTGTGTGTTTTGCTTTGAAATTCTTTGAAGAATCTACAACTATGTCTCTGGTTCTGGTGTTTTTAGCAGAGCGTCTTTCGTTAGGAATCGACTTTGGCCCCCCCGTCAACGCATGACATCAGCATGAAAGATTGCTTTTATTGTCTGAAATGCATGTTTCAAAGGGGCAATAAGAGGAGCAACTGAAGCCCAGGACGCAGTCATCACGGGCTGGACGCCGACTGTCTAATGTGCTGTGGATGCCCTGTCATCAGTTTCCACTGTTCTCAGCACAATAGGCCTCATTAATGTGACTAAGGTACTGATGATCGAGTAATGGCGGCGCACTGATCGCGGACTTGAGGAGTAATAACGCTTTGGGAAGCTTGACTGTAGCTCATTTCAAGGTATTGAAATGCTGGATGATTCCTCAGCCAGGCAGCTCATTTCTAATGGAAACTATTGATGGGAGCTCGCCATTATGCTGCTGTTGTGTCCAAGATTCAGTAAGATGATGGCCACCCAGACACTGGTAAAGGAAAATACTGTCAATACAACCTTGTAGGAGAAATGAGGAGCAAAGGAAACTTGGACTCTGCTAATTGGACGGGTCACATTGGGCATTAGCCAGTGGTTTACCACATGCTGATCAGATTGAACTTCTAGCGGGTTCAAACTCTACCCTGAGCCTGGTTTCACACTTTTCTAAGCGTGTTTGTGTAACAAGTGTTCTATTTTTTAGCTCGAGACGTACCTCTTTGTGCACATTTCTTGGTGTTTGTCTCATCCCAGGGACTGCGCTTTAATATGTTGCCGTGCCAGTGTTATGAGTCTGGTTTGACTTTGATTTGCTCGTGTCCAAAATGTAATCATCCCTTAATATTGCACCACTCCCACAGCTATTGGAGTCGACTCAAACCAACGAGGGGCTGATTGCCAAGACCCGCTCTTACCTCGCTTCACTCCCACTCGCTAAGCTAGGATTAATTTGATTAATTCTGTACCTTCAAATTGCTTTTTTTTTTTTCTCAGGCCATTTTGTCCTCCACCTGATGAATCCATTGACAACGCAAGATGGCGAATTCCCGTCATTCACCGGCCTCGTTTCTGAGGCTTTATTTTGCAGCTCATTCATCTTCCAGAACTTTGCGCAGTCGGGATGTGGAACTGATATAAAATTCAACTAATATTCAATTTGAGTCTTAAAATATTCACTAATAAGGCTTACAATATGAATTAGGAAAACTCACTCCAATTACAGAGCAAAATACAATTTGAATAAAAGTGCTGCAAGGACATATTTCATTAAATTTTAAACACTCAATATGGAGGCAATTTAGAAATTTTCTGATTAAAATCAAGCTACAGAATTACAAATGCTTGGAAAAAAATCCATATTGCATATCAAGCAGTGGAAGCACATTAATATTCCTGTTAAAAGGAATACGACACTAAAAAGTATTTCATAATGCGTATTTGCTCTTTGTAAGCGTGGCGAGATGCTCTGCACTTGTTGAGTTTGTGATTATGCACACCACAGCTGTGTGTATCCAACAAAGGTTGCATCACGCCGAACGTGGCGATGCCTAAACCTCCAAACTATTTTATCATGAACTGTCTTCTCATTGCATACGAATGGTGGCAGCGGGAGCCAGAAAAAAGAAAAAAAAAAGTAATGTTTCTCTTTGAGCTTCTTGTTGCTCTCAGTATTCTGTTCACCAGGGAGCGAGGAGGGAGGTGCTGGGTGTTGGGAGGAGGTGGGTGGTGGTGGTGGTGGTGGTGGAGGGGGAGCAGCATGATTGGTAAGAGTCAGGGTCTTTCATTTTGTCATGTGGTTTCTTTTTTCATTTCTGGGCTGATTTTTCACTGGAGGGCTAGTTCCATTCACTTGAATTTATTATTTCTCGCGCCGAGGAAGTTGATGAATTCGAATGTCTGTGAGTGAGTTTGTGTGCGCCTCCATGCACATTAATGCCCGTGTGGGTGTATGTGTGCGAGCAGATGAGACACGCGTCTTTCTCTGTGTAAGGGAGCCACGCTTTCATGGCTGTTTCAGATCTCGCTGCCTCACAGTTCGACAGAGCGACACAGCCAGGAGGGAGAGAGAGAGGGAGAGGGAGAGAGAGGGAGATGGAGAGATAATGGGAATGGAGGGTGAAAGAAGGCTAACACAAGCTTTAATGAGTTTCCTTGGCTCTCTTTGCCTGTTTCTGGGTCAGGGTCCCCTGGCTGAGGATGTGGGTGGACTGAGGACTATGGAGCAGGAAAGAACAGAGTAAGCCAAGGTCTGCTGCAATAGACTTCTACATAGGAGAGTCATCAGCTACATAAAGATGTAAGGGAGGAAAAGCCTGACAGCATTTCAGAGTTATTACTTGCTTAGTTGTTGAAATCAGATAGCGGTCTTGCACCAGCTCGTCGTTGCTCCCACGCAGACCGCTACTCTGAAAGGTCAGAGGTCACCCAGCACTTTAATCTTTCTTCTCAATTAGCCGCAGATTAGGAGCCAATGAAAACGAGGAAAACTTTTTTTCTGATGAGCAGCAGCCGCAGAACTACCAAAGCATTCAACCGGCATCATAACAGCACACACAGACTCCCTTTCGGGCGAGGATGGCTTTGGTCATTTTCTGATCGGCTCCTCCTGCCCTTTCATTTCCTAGCAATCAACTTCAATCTGTGGCAGGTATGGAGGGAGAGATAACATTAGAGAGACATCGTGAGGAGATATCTGCTCAGCCGAGACATTATTTAGTGCTCCCAGAGCGTCCAGGAGGCAACCTCTGTCAGACAACAAGGCTCCAGCGTGTCCACACAGGACAGAGAAGCGGGTAGAGAGAAGGACATGGAAGAATTACTGATGGGCCGATAAACTCTTTTGTTATCTGAACAGTCTGTCTTCCTGTTTCTGTCCTCCTGCGCTATGTTTCTGTCCGTCTGCCCAACTCCATTTCGATGTCTCAATCTACGTCTGTCTGGCTGAGTTACTTTAACCGTCTCTCTCTGTTCTCCCTCTCTCTCTCTCTCTCTCCCCTCCTGTTTCCCACTGTATCTCTGTCTCTATTACGCTGCCTTCTTTCTTTCACACTTGTGAATAATTGATGTCTACCGGTTCGATGGTAAGAATAGAACAGTTCTGGAGGTGACAAATGGGGTGGCGAATAGGCTTCATCCTCCTTTCTTCAAAGAGTTAGAAAGTTAGCCGTGCTCGCTCGTGGGCTTGTGCGTGCCCCGTGTATTTGTGCCACAGTTGTTCGTGTTTGTGTGTGCGCGCGCGTGTACACATGCAGTTGTGTGTATGTGATTTAAGACAGGGAGATGAAAGGGAGTTGTAATTACAGGGAAGCGTATCTGTCTACTGCAGAAGTATCCGAGGAATGGCACTAACTGGGCCAAAAGCCTGAGGTCATTAGATCTGCTGCATGTGTGTGTGTGCATGCATGCTGTTGTGTGTGTGTGTGTGCGTAGAGAGAGTGACAAAAGCAAAGAGAGAGCGCGCGAGAGAAAAACGGGAGACACGGCTCGATCAGCTTATAACTTCAGTTCCTCAGAGTCAACCTCTGAACTCTGCCTCTCATTATTGGCTCGGCCTCGCTCGTTTCTCAGCAGTAGCCGACTGTGGTTAGACCAAGCAAAGGGCCGGTTTCTGTAAATCCACGCAGCCTTATTGCCTGAGAGGAATCCCAGAATTTCCTGCGCTCTAAAATACACTTGTGTAAACATTCCAAAATATCAAATGATAGGGATTTCACTGTGTGCTGTGCGAACGGATAATCCCGTGCAAAGGCTGTGGTTATAATACTGTCCCACTGTCTCTCGTCTGCCTTCCTTCTGGGGCTTTCTGCCTCCACTTCTTCCTCCCTTCATCTTTCCTTTTGTACCTCCTTTCCCCCCCGCATCATCTTGTCCCTGTTTTCTCTTTTCTCGCAGTTGACGATGACTTCATCGGTCTCGGTGAGCTGCCGGAAACCTTCCCTTCGGACCCCCCGGAGCCGCTGCCTGTGTTTTTGATGGAACCAGAGGAGGCCTACATCGTCAAAAACAAGCCGGTCAACCTGTACTGCAAAGCCACGCCCGCCACCCAGATTTACTTCAAGTGCAACAGCGAGTGGGTCCACCAAAAGGAGCACACCGTGGAGGAGAGGGTGGACGAGAACTCTGGTCAGTGAAAAGTAGTTTTCTTTTTAATTAAAGTAATGAAGAAATCTTTATTTTTTTACACTCGTGGAATCTGAAATCCAAATGTGTCCTTCTAAATTATTATTTTTTTACTCCTGGCAACTAAAACATGTTTAATTTTTCATGTTTATGTTTAAGAAACTCAATTCATGAGATGGAATCCGATAACTTTTTCATATTTAATCAAAACCAAGGGCTCCAATGTGTATGTTTTGCAGCATAAGAAGATTCCTGACATCATAATTAGGATAACAAATTAGCAGCACAGTCATGTTTTTATAGGAGGTACGGCTGGTGAAAACATACACACACAAGTGTCTGCACAAACATACACACACAAACTCCTTAGAAATCTTAGAGGCCGGTTTATTTGATCAACCGGCGGAGTCGCTTTATCCGCGGAAGGGTCTCGACTAACGGGGTCTCGGCGAGGACATCTTCCCTTTCGTGAGTGTGTAGGTGTGTGTTTATGTACATGTTGGGCATCTAGAGGAGGAAAGTGAAGGTAGTGAAGCTCCAGCAGGGTTGTTTTCTGCAGAATTCAGCCCCCGAAGGCACCAGAGCCATTACATACAACAGCCCAGCACTGATTGGCTGCATTCAGCTGCTGTATTGGAAATTGAGTTCTTTCTGTCGCCCACAGGTACCAATCACATCGCATTTACCCTTTTCATTCCACTGTTTTGCCACACACATGTCTGCAGGCTCACACAGAGACACACTGACAGCTGCTTCTTTACTTAAATGCGAATGTTTTTGGCTCACATAGGTACACTTCAAGGATTGGAAAGCATGTTTTTATCTGAGGTATTTAGTAAAAAAATAAAATGTCTCAAGTCCTGTTGCACTGAATTATATGGATGGAAAAAAAACTCTGTAATAAAGACAGCCGGTACATATACAAAAGCATCTGCAGCATTGCTACAAAAGCCGATACACCGATACAAAAGGAGTGTTGCAGCAAGCACAAATATAAAAGGAGCATTAAAAAAAAAAAAGCAACCTGAATCCTAACCTGAAATCCTTTCATTTTGACCTAGTGTACTTCAGGAAGAATACACAGATCTGAGCGCGCGTTTCATAGTTGTGATTATGACAAAGAAGAGGGTGAAGGTAGCGGTGGCTCTTAGCCTTTGTGTCAGAGGGTTTTGTGCTAAAAGCATCAACATGGAAAACAACCCACACATCACACAAGCACCCACTCTACATAGCCGTATCCACAGGCTATTTGCTGCACAGATATTCATTCATTTGTGCTCTTGCACCTCACACAAACACACACACAATACCGCTGGAGCCCAGTGGATGTGTGGAGCCCACTCCATTGCTCTCTGATTTCCCCAGATTGACAGAAAAGGAACACTGATAGAAACTGGCCGGCCTGGTCAATACCACTGATAGCGTAGCCTGAAGAAATTGGATCTCTCCTTCTCTAACCCCGACTCCCCCTAACCCCTCCTCCACACGCTTTTCTCTTTTTAGCTTGTCTTCTCTCCGTGTCTCGCTGTCATTTTGGTGAGAACTTGTGATCGTGTGAAAATAAGACGGAATGAGACATATTGAGATAAGCGTGCGTGAGAGTGTGGGCAGGAACTGTGGATGTTCATTTAGGCTTCAGGGTGAATCCGAGGCATCTTTCTCCACGTGTTTGACTCTCTCTCTTATGGCATTTAATTCACTGTCCACTTCAAACGCAGTACTGTGCTCGTGTTGTTGATACTTCAGCTGTTTGGATTATCATCCATCGTACAATATGAACAGGGAGGGAGCCTGATACTGACCTATACAATCATAAAGAGTGATGTTTAGTGGCAATGAAGTCCTTCAACTAATGATGAGTCATGAGGAACAACATCAGCTAAATCTACAAAGAAAAACTGCAGCAAGTTCTCCCAACATCTACCAAGGGGAACTGGTGCTTGTTATAAGATAAAGGGTGGTCACACCAGACATTGATTTTTCTTTTATTTTTCTGTTAGCTGCACTTTAAATTAACTGATAAATCAAAACTGTTCATGGCTTTATTTTTACAATGATCCTCACCAGTGTGTGAACTACACACCATAGATGGTCACAAATCTCAGATACAGTATTTTAAAAAGCACTTTTTCCCAGTTTTTTTAGATTACTACTAATAAGAATATGAATAATAATAAGAAGAAAACGGATGACAAGTAGCAGCACAGAGGGATGTGCTCGTTCTTCTGTTTTGTTTCACAGCAGCTGGCATCAAGAAAGTTAGTTTTATTTCCTGATCTCTGAGTGAAAGTGAGTCAAGTTGATAATACACGCTTTGATGGTGATGGCAAAACCAGCATGCATGCTGGTATCTTTATTAAAGTGAGTCATTTAATCTTATATTAATAGTACAGTTTTACACCAATTTTATGCATCATGCATGATGACGAAGACACAGGAAAAAAAGAAATACTTGGAAAACTAGAATAGCATGAAATATTTTGGACACCTTCACCCCAAAGTTTTAAGAATCATGTTTTTAGAGGAGCTCATGTCTTAGAAAGAGGAACCAACCTCTCCTGGCTCCTAATCTTTACTTTACTTTTGGTGTCTTAAACTCTTGCGCAGTACTGTACACGGAGAAAAATAATGTAAAGATGTTTGTTTGTGTGTTTGGCAGTAGGTTGGCCGATACAAGAGAAAAATACAATTTAATATAAAAGTTAACAGAAATGACCAATACAAAATACATGTTTGCACAAGTTTTCGTCTCTTTATTAAGCTACAATTAATCTTTCAATGTACACTTTTTCAAGAAAAAGTAAAGAAAATGAATTACAGGATTTGTAAGTCACATAATGAGTTTAGTTGATATCATCAGGGTGTAATTAAATCTGGGGTGGGAAGTATTTTTTTTGGCACCATTAGGCAAAAATTCCACACTGATCTTTCGGCACATTGGAATTCAAGTCCTCCTGAGAGGAAGCTGGACTTCAGTGCCTTTTCCTGGCTTTTTAAAATACAACTTGTGACAGGAGATTCCAGCCAATCACACTTTTCACGGGTCGGACGAGGCAGTATTAGCAGCAACAAAGGTCAGGTTGCGAACAAAATGTGGCGTTTGATGGAGGACTTTTACTTGACAGAGGTTTGAATCCTGTGTGGAGCCACAAATGAAGATTTGCTTTTAGCTTCTTTTTGTGTTTGAAGCGTGTGGTCATCTGATGTTCGTGGCTTAAAAAAACAGAGAGAGGGGAGGGAAGAGCTGCAGGAGGAGGCCTGTATATGTTCAAAGTCTGTTATTTTTTGTCCTTTCTAAGATTTCTACCTACTCCAGCTTGAAGGGGTTTCAACCGATTCTCTTCTGAACAAATGTGTCTCTGGAAGGTCCACATTCAGATGAGTCAGTATTGTGGCTTTACCCACACCACAAACACAAAAGAACACTCCAAGAAACTTTGGAAAAATGTGACTGAAAGGCCCGAGTCAAGTCAGTGAGCATCCCTTGGAGAACAATTAAATCAGTCATTAAGAAATGGAAAAAATGGCACAGCTTGTAATTCTGCCCAACAAAAGCTGCCCTCAAAAGCTTGAGAGTCTGTTTTCACTTTCCAAAGGGCCGTTTTTCTGCAGTGATTCTACGTTGACTCAGCGTTGGAACGTAATAAAACTTAAAAACCTTCAAATGACGTGAGTCCTATTTAAAGATGCCGTGTGACGCATGGAACAGTCATTTTCAGATTTCCGTCAAGAAAACAACAAAGCGGCTAAAAGCGCAATTTGTGCATCGCGTGAAGTTGCGGTGCAATCAGCAGTACGGCGCCATTCACTACGCCACGTTCCTCGCAGCACGAACCAACTCACCTGCAGCTCCTCTCCATTATAGAAGATGTCACGCAAGCGTATGTGCCGCCCAGAAGGCTTTTTAATCCGATGGATGCAACATGCAGAGAGCCACGTGGAGTCGGAGGCACACGAGTGTTTGAAAGAAAAACACCAGAGGACATATAAGCGAGTACATCAGCAAGTGGTGTGATTATACATTATTACTTTTTTAAGAGCAGGTAGAAAATAATAGAAGTGCTGATTGCTTGTGATTTTCCTTTGAGCAAAAAGCCAGTTCGCAATAAAACAGCAGACAAAGTATGTGGATTTTTTTTTTTTTAAATAAAAAAAGAAAAAGGAGCTATATTTACACAGTGGGCAGAGTAGAATGTCATTGCATCTGTGTTAAAACCCCTCTCTGGGCATTGATTAAACCTCTTAAAAGTCATCCCTGTGTATCAAAGTTACATATTTAGACATTTCTCCATGAAAATAATCCCCTCCTGCCTTTTGGATGTAACTCTACCCTGGTGCTTCCTCTTGACTGCGCAAAATCTATGAAGTCACAATAATTCAGCCGAACCAGAAAGCGGATTTTGAAGAAGAGCAGCAATACAGGAAGTCCCGCTTTACACATAGATACGATCGGTTCCTTAGGATTGTTACACAGGAACCCTGGAAGTATGGATCCGTGTTTTTGAGATTGTCATCAGAACGCTGCAGCTTCAAGATGGAAATGCTCAGCCCTGGTATTGACTGCTTATTTCTCTCATTATGCGTCCTCTAGCATCTATAGAGGACCGCAGAGAAATGTTAACAATGAAAAAATAAACTTGATTTTCACCGCAGAGGATCTTAAAAGAGCTGTTGTCTTGTTGTAAAGTTCAGCGGGGACGGATGGTGAGCATGAGCTGCTCAGACGTGAATTGAGGCCTGTTTTACATAAAGTACACATGAAAGCACTGATTCACATCATGTGTGGAAAACTTGTATGAATTCAACTGAGAAGAAAAAAATGATGGCAATTTTTTTTTTATTTTTTTAGAAATGACCTCCTTTATAGTTCTGCTTTAGATTCAGATAGTCGCCCTGCTGTCACCTGTAGCGTTTACCTCCCAGTGTTGAGGGCAGGTTATGGTCTCTCTACGGAGCAGGGAGAGCATTGATCTGAGCAAATGAGTGGCAAATTAATTATAAGTAGGTGCAGCTCGTGTAATATACACTGGAGACAGCTTGTCACTTTCTCTGAGATATGAGTTGGGAGATCAAACGGGAGTACTCTTCATCTGGCCAGATAATCAGAGCACTTAAACCTCCCTCCTCCTCCAGCTCTGCTTCAGTGACCAGTGCCTCCTCTTCTGCCCCACTGATCAATAACGTTGGCCAGCGCTAGCGCTGAGGAGCTCACATTAATAACCGCATTAATAATGAATCATCTCAAATGAAGCACCCTACTTCAGCCAGCTATTAATGGGACATATTGTAGAATAATGTCTGCTGCTAATGGCCACATTGACAGGTGTGAAGTAGCCGCTCATCGCTGGCCCCCGACACGGTTCGCTCTCGCTTTGCCCGCTCTTGATTGCAAATTGAATGGTCTGTTTGGTTTTGTTGTCATCATTGTAATGCTATCCAGCAAAAAGGCTAAGAGCTGCTGGCTGAGCAAACACATGAAGTCACAGGGTGAGGTCAGCAGGCTCAAGTCAGGGATCTGCTCATCGGGCAGAATAACTCTTCTGATGCGTTTGAAGTGCAGCGCGTCAGGAGGAGTTTAATCCAAGTTTAGTAATCGCCATGAAGTCATGAATGACTCTTAAGGCAGATTGATATCTAGTCCTCGTCATCATTTAAGGTTCTCTTAAGGGGACTTACTCCAGCAGCACCAGACAGCTCATTTCTGTCTGCAGCACTGATAAAGAAAAAACTAAAAAAAAAACTGATGCACGTTCTGGAGCTTCTAAGAATTACGAGAATCTACTTATTGTTTCCAGTATTGATTTTCCCCTCTGCTGCTCCGTATGTGATGCCCCCCCCCTCAACATCACATCCATCCTTGACATTCTCAAACTAACAGAACGCCCTCTCAGGCAAACACATCGGCGTACAGCGCAGACGACCGCGGGCACACCCACTTGCGCTCACACATGCGTGTGGAAACACACATGCGGGAGCAAACGGTGACACAACAGACGTGGCTGTTCCTCTGCCTCTCGGCACACTGTGTAAATTTTACATGAGGGCTAAGCTGGTGTGTGGGATGTCACTGCGCTTGGTGTGTGTGCCAGAACAAGGAGGCTGTGTGAATGCGCTGAACCTGAAATAAAATGGCATGTTCGTTTTCTAACCATCCGTTCTCTTTGCGTTTTCCTTCGGCTAGAATTGCGAGAGAATATAAACCTGTTCGAATCCTGAAGCCTTTTGTGAAGCGAGGTCATCCAGAGGAGAGAAAAAAAAAACAAAAGCTATTAACACACACATCAGCACAACAGGACGATTATTCCCTCTTCTGATGCTGTCAATGTTATGTAGGCAGAAATTGTTTAATCAAAGATTACAGTTATTCATTAGAGTAATATTCAGTCGTAATCAGCAGCTATGATCATTTGTATGCTTTGCCAAACAAAGTCTTTCCTGTTAAATTAATATAAATGACAGAGAGGACAGAACCCCTGCAAGACTAAGCTGCAGTAATATTATTAAAGGAATGTGGTTACAGCACACATAATTGCAACATCTTTAAATCTGAATGGGGTTGCAGTTCAAACTACCTCGATTCACTTTTTTGCCAGATTTAGATTATTGACTGCGGTTCACAATGTGTTCCGAATTGGCCTATCTTGTCTGTTGGCGGTGAGTCAGTCTGTAACGAATTAGATGTCAGGCAAAGATTAGACCACTGATTGGATGCACATTGGAATGAGTCAAGGATCTACGACACCATGACGTCACATCTACAACACACTCTTGGCTAAACTCAGTCGAAAGTAGCATAAAGGGTAACTTGTACAAATGTAAATACAAAGTTTCTAGCTTGAGCAAAAGTTTGAGGCCACTTTTACAGATGTGTCAGCGTAAAAGCACATCTGCATATAATGCAAAACAATAATGGGACAGTTTGACTCTTACAATAGTGCGTATTACTGTTACTACAATTAAGGCACATGTAAATAATACTTTCTTAATTGTACTTGCTGCATTATCTGCTTAACCCAAACGCTGCAAACTTTGTTGTAATTTTTGTGTCATCAGTTACTGTCTCTCAAAAGCGTCCCGTGATTTAATTAAAACCTGGCCTAATGAGGAGATAACGCCGTTCATAAATAAAGTTAAATCAAATACTAGCTGACTGACTGGCTGTCAGGACCAAAACAAGAGTAACTAAATGTGGCTCAATAGTTAAAACAGTATATCTACCTTTGGACAAGCTCCATTAAAAACTAACACTGTTGGCCTCTTGACAACAAAGCTATTAATCATTGATTCCGCAACTGTCCCCTGTTTGAATTAGCATGCACCGTGTGCAGCACTTTTAATTTGTGTCTCATCAGGAGACACCGGCCTCACCATTTTTTAAAATGTAAATTAGCAGGCAATGATGTGTACTGAGGAAAGAGGATGCTGGAGTTGGAACGTGTTAAGACATATAGTAACGTATCTATAGCATTAATATGAGGAGATCGCTGCTCATTTAAACAAATTCTTAACACTAAGTAGACAAGTCAGTCTGCTAATGGCCCAAAGCTTTTGACACAGCAAGTGGTCTTGTGGAGAAAAATGGCAATAATTGTAAAATTTGGTTTGGCTGCACAACTTAAAGGGTTTTGGTTGGATTAGAACCTGCAAAGTCCACACTGAGAGGTTTCTGTGTGGAGTTTGCTGGTTCTAATTTGGATTAAGTGGATGGATTTGGTTAAAGGCAAGCTGTAACAGTTAGTACACGAACAACACAAGAATAGTTTGCATAACTCAGTATATATCGAATTGGATTTGCTTCCTCTGAAATTTCATCTGCTAACAACAAAACTTTCGACTGTCATCAATAAAAAGTGGATGACAACTGAAAAAGGTTTGTAAAGCTGATGACAGGGTCTGAAGTTAGTATACAAACAACATGTTGGTAACGGCGCTGGCTTGTGATGGCGGCGTAATGGTTGCAGGGAATGTTTCCGAGGCACACAAAAGGCCTTTCAGTAGCAACTTGGGCATGATTTGAATGTCACAGTTGGCTTTCACATCACTGCTGACCAGGTACACGAGCAGGACAGTTCCAGGAAAAATGACATCAACTTGACTTTTTTCCAGTAGGGCCGCACAACCCCCATATCTAAACCTAATAGAGCAGCACTTTGGGGATGAGGTGCCGTGGGATATTCACGGCATGAATGTTCTTTTTTAAATAAAACTCCAACGCTATGTTTTTTTCAACATCAAACCGTGCAAATCCCCCACTGTTCTGCAGCATCCACCCATAGACTGTATAAAAGATGGACGTAGCAACTGGCCCCGAAAAATGAAGCCAACCCGGAAGTGTCAAAAACCTGCAATATCACTACGTCCGCTAGTCCTGGCTCCAAAAAGCCCTGGCTCCCATAGAAATGAATTGGAAAAGAAGTGATCACAGATCATGAAATACTGCATTCCTCCAGCTCAGGATTTTTTTAAAAATTAGTTTTCATAGTCAAATCCAGAGATCAGGTGGCCAATCTGAAAATAAATCAATACTGAATTTTTAAAAAATCATCAGCATTTTGCGGGGCAAGGGGCGTGGCTGGCTTGATTGACAGTCGGGACGATGCAGATGAAGCAAGCAGAAGGCAGTAAATGTGGGCGGGGCAGAGAGGGCCCGCCTCTCAATCCGTCTGACCAATCGCTGCTCCTATGGCTCCACCCCCCTCCGACGACTTTTGCGTCACTGGCTCCAAAAATCCAAGATGTCAACCAGGAAGTAGCAAAACCCTGGCTTCATTTTCTCAGTGCAGAAACCAACGGGTGACGTCACGGAAGCTACGTCCATCTTGTATACAGTCCATGCATCCACCTCGACCCTCAGGGACGATGTCACTTATGTCACTACATATGGAATAATTTGGTTACGAGTCGGCTCACGTTTGGCTCAAGAGGTTAAGTGTCTCATAATGTCTGCAATGTCTGTAGTAAATTATTATAATTTTTTTATGATGCATTGTCCTCACAAACATCCCATCCCCTCAAAAAAGACGATGGATGGAGAGCTGAAATAAGCATGATCTTGCACGGCGAGCACCCCCATCTTCAGTTAAAGCTCTTGCACTGCATAATGCATACATACACTGCATGTATGTGCCCAGATATACACACACTGAAGCTGCAGCGTAATCTGCTCTAGAGGGGCAGCTGTGGGTAGAGGCATTTGTTTGGGGGATGATTTGTTTGTTTGGGTCCTGGCACCCAGATGAGCAGTAATCAGAGGAGTTAGCAAACAGGATTGTGTTAGCCATGACGCCGAGAATCCTCCCCCACAGGGCCCAGAACCAAAAAGCTCAGCGCTCCGGCTCCAGAATCAGGCCAGACAGACACAAATGCACATTGTGTGAGGTTAGGATATATGAAATTTTTATGTTTTCCTATTTCAGCTTGTTCTTTTATTTGTTGATGTTGTATTAATGCCCTATTTTTTCCTTTTTATTTATTTATTTTTCCTTTTCAAATCTCTAATCCCTATCTTCCTCCTCTTCAATCCTTCCCTCGCAGGCCTGGTTGTGAGGGAGGCCAGCATCGAGATCACTCGGCAGCAGGTGGAGGAGTTGTTTGGGCCGGAGGACTTCTGGTGTCAGTGTGTGGCCTGGAGCTCCGCTGGGACCACCAAGAGCCGCAAAGCCCACGTTCGCATCGCCTGTGAGTATTCTCCCGTCCATTCATCCGTCTCCTCAGACCATTATTCAGTCGTTATCTCCCCCTCTCATCTTTGTATTCCTCTCCAAACAAAACCCTCTCCGCTGCCAAGAAAATGCGTCTCACAGACCGACTTGTGTATCGTTACAGATTCCGGAGATAGCGGCGGCGAAAAAAAGGGGTTTTTTACTAACATGGGACTCAAGTGTCCCTTTGAACTTGAGTAAAAAAAAAAAAAAAGGCTTGTAGAGTCTGAATTGGTTTCTTTGTGTATAGTATAAACCTGGAGAAGCAGCACAGAGGAAGGGGAGAGCTGCAGCAGTGTGTGTACACAGTAGAGAGGCTGTGTTTATACCAGTGTTCCCTCTTTCTTTCCTTTTTTTTTTCTTTTTTCTTTCCTCCTGTATAGTCCTCATTTGTTCTCTGCCTGTGTGTTTGTCCTCCTACTGAAAAGCACAACGCAATTGTTTCCAAGTAATGAGAAACATTCTGTGCTGGCTTTAAAGTTTGGGCTCATTTTTTAACTGTTCCCCAAAGAATGTGCCAATGAAATTTTTTTTTAAAGTAGTGAAACCTAGAAGGCATGAAAGCGGAGCAACTTGTGACATCAAGGCAACGTTTTTTTTTTTTACAACACAACACGTATTACATAACCGCTTATGCGTCGTTGTCAAAATTCCACCTGAAGGGACTCCTTTTATAGTATCTGCTCCATCACTGCACTTCCAGCTCCTGTCGTTTCATTCGAAAGGTGACTGACGTGTCCTGCCCAACTTTTTCTCTTTTTTGACTCGTGGCAAAAAAAAAAAACTGGGGAGGAAAAAAAGTCAACTTGCAAAAGCGTATTCTGTGTCAAATGCATTGTTAACACTGCTGGATAGGGATATCACCTGAGCTGGATGTTTGGCTGGGAAACTCAATGCAACTGTCAGAATGATTTCAATTTCACCGTACAGTGCGGCAGATGGCACAGCGCAGAGTCAATATCCGCGGTTATCACCTAAACTGCTCAATTTAGAGACACTTAGCAATCATATACCTGCCTCTCTCCATTTTTAGCCCATCTAATTCTGTTCTACATCTTTATATCTTTATTACCCGACTCTCTCTCTCTCTCTCTCTCTCGTACTGTTTGGCCCCATTTTCTGCACAGTTTCTCTCTGAAATTCGGCGCATCTCCTTTTTTTTTATTTCAAACACCAGTAGCTCCTCTTATTACTGCTTCTATTATACAAGTCTGGTGAATCAGAATCATGCCTCTCAGTCTCCCACCGAGCCCACTCCCGCTGCTCCACCTCCTATAATCACCCGTGATGAGCAGCCTGCCAGCACTAACCTATCCCTCAAATCACAATGGACCCCTCTTCCCCTCCCATTAGCTTCTGCTGAATGGATTAGCTCCTCTACTGGGCTTTCTCTCCAGGCAGCCTTCTTGTCAGAGCCAGACTCTATCCCGTTAGGCTAATGGAAACTGGGGTTGTTTTCCTCTCCTCTCCCATCATCTAAACATATACAGTTTAATCAGACGGTGAGTCACAGCCAGCGCTGGCGAGTTAAGAGGTTTGCTGTGAAGGAGCAGCTTTCAGACTTGCAAAAAAAAAAAAAAAAAAAGGTGGCCTAGCTGAAAGTGTTGTCGGAGAGACCCGTCGGAGGAAGAGCGTAAATTCCCCCGTGATTGCCTTTCCTTCGCGTGACCTCCACAAAAGCGTTTTAATTGGCCTCCGTTTTTTTGGGGGTGCAGTGATTGCTTTGCCAAAGAGAGGCAATAAAAGTATGTTCACAGAAGCAAATTAAATAAACTAATCAAATCAACAGAAATGCCTTTCAGAGGTCTGGTGGAGGGTAATCGTTATTGAGAAAGCTGGAAATTGATTTTCTCGTCTGTTTGCGGGCCCCGTCATTTTACATCATAAGCAAAAAACCCTCGGCTGCATCACGAGCGACTTTTTACGCGCGATTACGACTCCGATTTGGTAAATCCTGATGTAGGTTTGCACCAGTAGCTAATGATTTACTAAGCAAGGAAGAAACCATTTCCGGAGTGCGAGGCTGGTGTAATTTAGCATGACAAGTAGCCAAACACATCCACTTAAAGGTAATGGTTGTCATATGTGTGTGTCTCTCTCTCTGCTGTGTTTGTGCGCCGCCGAGAGAAATGGTGTGACTCCCACAGGAATGTCGATTCAGCTGGTCCCACACCCTCCAGTGCACCACAGTGCCGTTCGGGGTTACGAGAAGCGAGGAAAAGGAGAGACTCCAGGGTGGTGGGGCGAGGGGGGAGCATAATTTCAACCCACATCCAATAAAGATATATAATGCAAAGTAATCACTCGCATGCCACTTACTGTTCCATCAAGAGTCATGCCAAAGGTTTCGCAAATCACGATGAAAAAAAAAGAACAACACAAGCACTGGGTGTTTAATTTTAGTTTAACGGGCTTTGGAGGATCTGCCTCAAGAAGTACGAGCAATAAAAGCATGAATATTTCACATAAACTCACAAACATTCCTTTGCCATTATTACTAATAGTGCAATTCAAGCTATTAGGTGAATTTTATGTTGTAGACGATAACGCGTCCCCTCGGTGGTCGTAGTGGAGCTAACAAGCTCCGGTTAGACTACATAAAAAATAAGAATGTGGGTTTTGTGGCTAAAAAAAAATAAGAATTGCAACAATTTAAGCAACAATTTCCTCGACCTCTATGTAAAAAGTGGGTTTTTTATTTGATAAACACATTGTCTTCCAGTGTAAAATCTATATATTTTTTCACTGCCATATCAGGCTTTATGGCTCGTTCTAAACCACCAAACGGCCTGCTGAAATACTGCACGCAGAGCTGCAAGGATTGTACCCATGGAAGACTTTCTAACACCTTTATGTGGAGGAATCAAATTAATGTTATTATATCTGACTGCAGCGCATATGCAGTAAATCATTAAGTACATCACAGTGTAGGAGAAGGTGTTCCTGTGCTGCCTCCTCACCTGTCACGGCATGACGGCGTCTTCTTTTATCTGTTGGAGGCAAGTTGAACAAATATCCATCCCTGCATAGTGGTTCTGTTATCGTGCAAACAGTAGAATGACGGGTACAACTTCAAAATGACATCTTATTTTTTTTGCAGCTTTCCTTTCCTTTCCTTTCCTTTCCTTTCCTTTCCTTTCCTTTCCTTTCCTTTCCTTTCCTTTCCTTTCCTTTCCCTTCCCTTCCTTTCCTTTTCCTTTCCTTCCTTTTCCTTCCCTTTCCTTCCTTTCTCTTCCCTTCCCTCCCTTTCCTTTCCTTTCCTTTCCTTCCCTTTCCTTCCCTTCTCTTCCCTTCCCTTCCCTTTCCTTTCCTTTCCTTTCCTTTCCTTTCCTTTCCTTTCCTT